GTAGGCACATGTCTTGTGGTCTTCTTAGCAATATATGGTCTTCTTAGCAATCCTATGGTGTCTTGAGCATCTACCTCAGGGTCATAAACTAATCCATGTGGTTTTAGTCCTGTAATAGCGACTATGTCGAAGAGGGTGGGTGTCATCATCCCACAAGGGAGATGGAATGTATAATGGGTACTATCCCAAAAATACAAAGAAGAAGCTAACAGAGTCGGCCAGTAAGCGGGACCTGTCTTCGACATCATAATCAGGTCATAAATCCTTATTTCCTTCCAAGTTTCTGCTTTGACTTTTTTACTTTGGTTAACCAGTTTAAGTAGAGGTCGGCATCTTTGAAATATGGGTTTGCTCTAAATAACCTAGGCCCATCGGGCTACATTACCATGAGGCTCAGCGGTTACCCTAGCCTGATCCTTTTGCTCTAAGGGTTTAGTTTTACGGTATGAAGGGAAGAAGTCACTAATGGTTGTATAATCTACACCTAAAGTAGATAAAGGACCAGATAAAGCTAATGGTTTGCCAGAAACGGTCACATGAATCAATACCTGGGATTCGTAGATATGTCTTTTTTCTTCTTTGAGAGGTCCAGGGATGAATTGTTGATTCTTCACTACTTTGGGTCCACTCAATGTAGCAAAAAGAGGAAGTAGTGACACGCTATTTGGCCCTTTGACCTTCAGATTTTTCTTTGGATCTTGAGTAGTAGTGGTTGAAGACGCCATTGTTAAAGACTTGAAGAAAATGAGTTTACTAAAGGTGAAGAGTTAAGAGTGTTTGAAAGAGAAGAAAGTGTTTAGTGAGTACTTTAGAGTTGGAAAAGTAAAAATAATTTCTGATGGAACTATTTATAAAGTGTGTAGAAGTAAAAAAAAAGTCACTAATCATCATTAGGGGCTAAAAGCTAGTGAGACATGTGGCCTTCCAGGAGAAAAAGTAGGGGCGGTGACAGTTTTTACTTATTCCCACGATCTCATAGATCCTATGAGAGGTGATGATGGTCTGGGATTTGATGTGATTTCCAAGGAGTTGTTTTTCATAATTGGCCATGACGCCATGAACATGATTGAAAAGAAACTGGACAGTTTCTTGAGATGTGGGTTGGTCGGTTATGTTGACACCTATGTGGGGTTGAAAGATGGCGTCGAATAGGACACTATAAAAAATGACCTTTTCTTCAGTACTGTCGAAAAGGACACTTTTGGGGGGCAATTTGTTAGCTCAGAAATTCGACGCCATATTAAGTTGGAAGTGCTGATTGGAATGTTAAACTCTTAAAGAGGTTTAAAGGAGTTTTCGACTGGATCTTCATGATAGGTTTAAGTCGAAGGTGCCCACATAAGGAAATGATACTTTTTGGACTTAGAAAATATTTCTAAGAGTTGGGAAACTACCTTCGACCGAGAATACTGAAGTTGTCTGACGTTAAGGGAATTCAAAATTCAAATAAAGGAGGGAGTAGTTATTCTTGTTCGCTCCTGAATAAGACAAGTGACGCACATCCAAGGGACAAAAGCATGCAACGCGATATTTGTCATATGTTAATTGTTTTAGGAAGTTAACAACAATTAGTTTTGTTATTACATATAGGAGTTCTAGCAATAGGATTAGGTGGTGTTCACTTTGTACAAGTAACTCCAGATTTACTCAAAGTATCCACGTGTAAAGAAAAGAGTCTTGAGAGAATGTACGCGATGTAAACACCATTTTCTTCTTTAATGCAATTTACTTTAACTTTTCATCAAAAATTTATCTTTTACTTTATTGCAATTTACGTTTCAGCATTGTGTCTTATTTTTTCAGCCTTTCTTTGATGTCTTCAACCCTTTTTTAGATTTAGTGTTCTTGCATTTCTTTCGAACCATACTTTTAGATAAACTTCTCTTTATGAACACTGTCGAAGTGTTTAGTCTTCAGAATCTACTTTGAATCAATTGTTAACACATGTCCTAGGATCAATCCGATCGATCCTGTGAGTCACCAAAGTTAAATTTGGAAGATCAGCGGTTGTTTACCAATTTTCACGAGAAACACAGTCCCCTTATCATTTTCTAACTGAACTATATCATTAGCAATCATATCATTATAATACCAAAGCCTATCTATAGTATGGTAACCTAACTTTCTTAACTTGTCCAATATTTCAAAGTAACTCCAATAATCAGGATCAACATCTCATATCTCCTCTAACCCTACATAACCTGACTTAGTAAAATTTGCAAACTCCCTAGAAAACTCACCAGAATGATAAACAACACACTTAAACCTAATCTCCATGACCTAATCAACCTACATATAGTATCAAAAGTACTAAAAAAGTTAGGTATATAAGAGATTTAACATTTTTTGAATCGTATTTGTGCAAGTTCGTACCTTAGGGTTTTTTGTCCAGACGAGTGAAATAATGAAGTTCTTCTTCTTCGTTCTTCTGCAATGAACTCCGTCTTCAAAGAAGCGTTGTTGCCGTACCTTGGGGTTTTCTTGTTGTCGTAAACTTCGCTATCTGAACTTCGTCTTCAAACAAGTGTTGTCGTAAACATCGTCTTTAATGAAATTCGTACAGAGATATAGTGTTCTTCTTCACAATGTAGCTGTTGTTTGAACAAGATATCATGCCCTAAGGCGTTTCATCTTCTTAAAATAAATGTTATGTGTAATACAAAATTCACCTCATCCATTAAAATAATTATAGAATATCCACCTAAGCCATTTAAAGTCCAGCAGTACAATTTCTAACGTTTTTTCAACCCAAACTAACAGAAATGACTACTATACATAACGGAGTATAAGTTAGTGGACCATAATATAAAACTTTTTTCTTAAAGAACTAAAGCGAAACAAACACTATAGTTAAGTGATTAAAAGAGATATTAAGCCTATTAAAAAAGTAATAATTATTTCTATATTAAAAAATCAAAATGACAATAATTATAAAACAAATTTTATTTTTTATAATTAACTGGGTAGCTGACATAAAGTAAAAAAGTTAAGTGGGTATTTGACAACCAAACATAATGTATCGAAGAAAAAGAAGCCAAATGTAAAATAGGAAAACTATGACTTTGGAAAGAGACATTATGACGTCAATGGTTAGATTTTGAAAAAATTGAATATGTTTTGCACTTAATTTGATGACATATGAAGGACAGATGGATGTTTTCCATAACATTGAGGACGTGTTTCTTTTAGTTTAAAAAAATAGATTTTTATTTTTTAAAATAGATTTTATAAAATTGTTTTTTTAAATATTATATATATTTTTATATATTTTTTCTTAATTAAAAGATTAATTTTGATATTCTATAACATAAATATATATTATTAAATATTAAAATATAGTTAAAATTACAATATTTTAAAAAAAATTATATCTCAAAAATAATTTATATGTCAAACTAAAAGGCTTCAAAATTAAGTGGTTTTTTGAAATTTTAATATCCAAAATAAAATTCAATAAATTTATAAAATACCTAAAATACCATTTTAAGAATAACTATCTAAAATTACAAATTATAACTTTAACCAGAACTAATTTCATAAAAAAAATCAATTCTAATTTAAATAAATTAAACATTTAGAAATCAATTTTATTTACATAACTTAATAAATATAATAATATTTTCATAGAATATTATATTTTTATTAAATTAATCTTATCAACACGTTGGATATAGTGTAAAGAATAATAATAAAAGATATTATTAAAAAAGTAATAATTATTTTTATAGTAAAAAATCAAAATGATAATTATTATAAAACAAATTTTATTTTTTAAAAAAACAGTAATTTTAATAGTAAGTTTTGAAAAGGAGAGAGTAGTATTCTAAGTCCAAATAAGAGGAGAAAAGGAAACTAACCGAGGGAGATCAGGCTATTGTGAATTCAACATGTTACCATATAAGGCATGTGATCGATGATAGTGTCCCGTTAGAAGCAAGCAAATACAATAATACAAAGGTGACGTTTCAATGTGTGGATGCTCTAAATTCATAGATGAGTATGGAATGGAGCGTCGTGAGTCATTATCAAAGTTGCATCACATCACATGCACATGGTAAGATCGGTTTTGAGTGTTGACTAATCAAAGAAGGTTCCTTTCAATATGCTCAATCTTGACGGTGATCACTATACCAAATCTCTTTGAGTTCAAACTACTTTCATGCTAACCATGTGTTCTGTTTCTTTGTGACAATGGATTTGCCTAAACATAATTGCTTTTAAATTTTCATCCATCATTTACTCTCATCAGATATTCAATTTTGAACAACTATATATTATTTTAATTATATAAATAACTAATAGGTGACATTAAGGTGCATCCATTTGTTGCGATGAGATAAGCCAAAACCATTTCTTTAAGCCGGTAGGTAAGGATGATGAAAAGGAACACCACCACTATGCCATGTGGATTGAATATAAACAAATCCTTCAATCATTGACTTAAATAACTACTAAGTGCGAATGTTAGAGAGAATTCACCTTAATTATATACACTAATATTACACTCTTCATTATTGATCTAATAATATACTACAGGTGGCTCAGAATATAGAGAAGTATATACACATGCCTAAGTCAGCATAATCAATAAAAAAAAACAAAAGGAGAAGGATTCAAAGCCAAATCAAAAGTACGAAATGAATCATTCATTACATATTCATGAATATTCTAAAGAAAAGAAGAAAGCAAAATAACACTAAATAGATGCTTCATTCATACATCTTCTATCCAAATTGAAACAAAAAAATATTTTATTAATGTATTGAATGGTAATATTACAACTTACAACACATATTACAAATTTTCTCTATCTCCTCCATCAGCTTCTCATATAGCTCCAAGTACATTTTTATTCTAAAATAACAATAATTATAATATAACATTAATAATAACAATTTTAAATGTACAATTTTAAATACCGTGGAAGAAAATATAACGAAAAAGATCGTTAAACAGAGGAAGGAGTGAAACGCAATATACTTAACGGCGTTGCTCCGCCGTTAAACGCTGACGGTGCACCGTTGAACAAGTTGATATTTAACGGCGCCGCTATCACCGACGGAGATTCCGTTACTCTGAGGACCAAAGGTAATAAAAGCAGGACACCGAACAAAAACATGGTAATGACCGGAAATGAAAGCTCCAACCTTCCACCTAACTCTACCGTCAAGTTTAACGACAACAAGCACGTTACCGTTAGTCTGGTCTTGACTAAGACCAACGAAGTTATAAGGAGCAACCGGGACGTTGGTTCCGTAAACAAACGGCGACCAAACGTCAACGTCTTTGTGACCCTGATACGACGGAGGTATGGCGGTTCTGTAAGTGATTTGCTGGCTCCGGTAAGTGACGTAGGCGTCTAGACGATCGTAGTAGATGCCGATTTTGTCGTTTGGGTTGCGAGAAGAGACGGTGACTTGGAAATTTGAGGTGAGGAAATTTGGAACGGTGGCGTTAAAAGCGTAGACGGTGACGTCTTGGAGGATGAAAGATGGTTTGGAAGGTTTTAGGATTGCCCAGGTGATTAGGATGGTGAGGAGGACGATGAAGAGGAAGATTACGATTCCCCAGAAGATTTTTTTGATGCGTTTGTGTTTCTTTCCTTTGTGGTGGTTGCACTCCTTTACCGACATGTTTTGTGGTGGCGAAGGTTGTTGTTTTGGAGAAAATAAGGTTTGAGGTTTTTGTTTTGCGAAAGAAGTGAGGAATGGTTTGAGTGATGGTGTGTGAGAGAGAGTGGTTTTTGTTGAGAATAATTAGAAGGTGGAAATGGGTTGGAAGGTTATCGCTTTCATGGTGGTATAGTTTGTTAATAAATAATAGTGATGATGATGTGTTTGAAAAGATGTGATAAGATTATGTTACATGCTAGAAGAATATTGCATGAATGTTAGCTAGTTTACAATAACTATTTAGTTTTTTTATTTTACAATACTACGGTACTTCCCTACAAATATATTGTGATATTATATATGCATTATTATGTATAAGTTGTTGGTTAATATTAATTTCTTTGTTTTTAATTGCCATCTTTTTTTTTGTAACTATTTTTAAAGCAAAAATTGAATTAAATGAAATAGTACTATGGCTATTCAACCCTTCATATAATATAGATAATTTAATTTAGACGGCGAACTGCCAACAACAAATAAACATAAGTTAAACATTAATCAACATAAATTATTAATGTTTTAGAAATGCATTCCATGTCCTATTACATATTTTTATTTTATTATAGTTGCGAGAAATATTTTACTATAGACGGTGATCCTTAGGAAGGTAGTGTGTGGTTATACGTATTCTTTTTACAATTACGAGTTATTAACTGTGGTAAAAAGGATTAGCGTGTAAAATACAACTACAATTGTTAAACATGAATAATAAAAGGGTGAGATTACAGGTTTGATACCTAACACATGTATTTCTTTTTGTGAATTTTAATACATTTCACCACAGTTCTAGAATCCAACTGTAGTGAAACATTTGGCGCACAATATTTCACCACTGTCTTTGATTTTAATTGTGGTGATATATTTATTTGAGTTTATTATAACTTATGTGAAATGTTTATCTCACCAAATACTCGTTAGACATATAGCCTTTTAATCTGATTTAAAAAATTATAATATGATATATTAAGTTATATTAGAAGAACAGATTACACTAATCAATGTGGTACAAGTTTTATGCAATCCATTATTCGCATTTTCCTGTTTGACAATTAGATCTTGCAAACAAAATTAGTAGAACAAATTACACTAATCAAAGTGAAAAGAAAGTGAAAGAAATGAGTTTCGTGTAACACATTTTCTTGATCCATAAGAGATGAAGAAGATATGTTGAAGTTTTGTGAATAAATGGTATGGAATCGTTCACTAAGTAAGAGTAAATGGTGAGAGAGTGTTAGAGTTTTGTTTTGAGATAGGCGACTATGTTCTGTCCTGAAAGAGTAAACTTTTGCTTAAATATATGTTATATTTTTCACCACGGTTAATATAAACGATTGTAATTAAATGTAAGTACACTTTAAAACGGTTGTTATTTTAGACTGTGGTGAAAGACATTTTAATTTAAATATAAATATCATGATTATAATGTGGCACGCCTATTTTGTAACCAAAAATAGGAAAACAAATGGTGTTGTGATTTGAAGCCTATAAGTCTTAACATGTCATTACGGTTAATAATAAGGATCGTAGTTAAATGTCTTTTAATAAAAGAAATAAAAATGCAGGTGCTTAAATAAGAGTTATTACTTCGGTTGATTTAGTAGCCAAGGTAATAGCATGTTACATTAGGTGCATTTTACGGTAGTAATTGGATTGACACACCAATCTTTTCATATGAATTCTATCGACCCTATAATTCTCGCAACAAACCACTACTGTGACGTAGATTTGGACATCCCTACCATTTTGTCCACTCTTTTGAATTTTCCTTTAAATAACTTTTCGTTCCTACTTAGCCAAAAAATCTAGCCAAAAAATCTAGCATACTGCTGCCAACCAAATCTCCAAACGATGCTTCTTCTTGAGGTTCATTATGAGCCTTTTCAAATTAGCAATTATTAATTCAGCCTCTGGTTCCACAGACATGTCCACCCAACCATAAACCTTCTTCTAAACTTTAGTTACAATCGAGCGATTCACAAAAAGATGCGAGGAAGTTTCCTCTGCGACAAAACACATGTGACATATAGTGTTATGATTTCCACAAAGATCCCTCTGCTAGCCAAAGTGGTTCGAGTTGGCAATTTATTAAAAAATAATCTTCATCCAAATATATGAAATTTGCTATGAACATTAGTATCACAACAGATCCAATTCTTGAAGAGCACTCTATTCCACCTATCGTTCAACATTGCAAATTTTATTAATAATTTGATAAATGCCTTTAACATAAAAGTCTTGCTTACTTCTCTGCCACACCACTACAAGAAAACATGTAATTTGCTAAGTGATTTAATGACGTGGTACCCATGTGGAAAATAATGGAAGTTGCGACGAGTATACCATGTCACTAGATTATTTTATTAATAAACACAAAAATTTCAAGTTTCGAAATGGTGGTTGCTGGTTTATTTTTTAAAAAATTGTTGTGACGTGAATCCCACGTCACAACACAAAAATTAAAACTTTAAAATCAAAGTATTGGGTTTCACGTGGGAGGGAAATTTGAATTTTTCCAGAATTTCATTTGTGGCGTGGTACCCACGTAAGGAATATCTCTGTCTATGGAGTAATTGTTCTGACAGAATTGCAAAGGTTCCGACGTGGAATACACGTGAGAAATTTCCGACGTGCTTCCCACGTTAGTAATTTATATTAATTAATTTTGGACTGACTTTTGTTTTTACCGTTGAGACATATTAAATTTGGTTTGATCAGTGGAAGAGTTTCGACGTGCTTCCCACGTCGCTACATTATTTTAATTAATTTTTTTTAATTATTTTTACCATTGCATATATTAAATTTGCACTTACTGGTATTAATTACTAGGAGAGGTTCCAACGTTGGATTCACGTGGCTACTTTCTCACGTGTTAATTGTTGAAGCGGTAAAGCAGCAAGCAAAAATATTATTTTCAGAAGAATTTCCTCCGGGATTTATCGTCTCCACAGGGATCAGTGTGAGGGGAAGAATGTCGTTCGACAATCTCTACGTCTCTAAGCTTGGGTTTGAATGGTTTGGGATAAAAATTCAAAAGGAAAAACATAAAACAAGAAAAAAGGTATATTTTAAGAAATGAGAAAACTCGTCAGGAGTTGTATTTCGTTTTACCTATCATGTACTAAAAAAATATATGGATCAAATGCACGCAACCTAATTCGCTCGTCAATATCATCACGTATCGCTCACAACAGAGTTTATCTCTAACACAAAGTCGAGAGATCAACTGTATCGTCTCATTGTTGATCTCTCACACAACTCGACAACACGGAGCATTAAGAATCGATACCCACGTGAATATTAGTCATAAATCTATCTCTATCATTTAGAATTTAATAGATGTTCATCTTAGATCGAGTTTGAACCGTATATCTCTATAGCAATCCAAACCCATTAAGTAAAAAATCAAGATAACCATCGATAAAGAGTTGTAAAAGAGATTTTATACAAAGATCCATAAATATACATACAATCAAGATAAACTTACATACAAAACCCCCAACAAATGAAAAATACATAGAGAGGAAGGAAGAAGAACACAAATCTCATGGTCTGTCAACTCCGATTGAAGTGGATTCGACTCCAGATCGTCAAGATGCACCCTCCAATGTTGTTTCTAAGCTAAATCTACTCAAGAATGTGTTTGATGAAGTTGGGGTAAAAAGTTCCCAAACAACATGCCCTAAAAAATGCTCAAAAATTACTTAAATAGACAAAAAAAAAAGGTCCCAGCATTCGCCTGGCGAACCTATGCAACTTTTTCTATTGTCAAAACAGTATTTTTCACGCGTTTTAGAACTTTCGGTTCGCATGGCGAACTTTTGTTCGCCTGGCAAACATTCGCCTGGCGAAGTCCCGTTCGCCTGGCGAACATGACAGCAAACCAGCACTTGTTTCGACCATAACTTCTGAATCGTAACTCCGTTTTTCGCGCGGTCGAAAGCGTTGGAAAGCCTATTCAATGCTCTATAAGAAAATGACAAAATATCATTGCCTATATACCTACAAAAAATGAGAAAAAATCAATTGAAATCAATGAAATTTATGCGACACACAATATATACACTATAATGTAAGCTATACAACATATGCACAAAAGTTGAGGTTTATTGGTTGAATTAAGCCAATAAGTGCCAATTATTTACACTCAAAATCAGTACATTTTAGCACTTATCAACTCTCCCCAACTTAAACTTGTTTGTCCTCAAACAAGAATCGATCAACTCAAGAAAACAAAAGTAATAACCAAGCAATCACGATTCAACAAGTTTTTTAAAACAAAAACAAATGTATGGTTCAACACAAAAACGTGCATGCAAAGCAAAACATACCACTAAGCTATAACGATAACATGAAAACGAAACAACTCCTAAATACAAAACACATGTCAAAAATTCTAAGATAATACAAAGTTCAAAAATGAATCACACCTAGCACACACTTCATCGGTAGATGAATAAAAAAAATACGAGGGACTTAACTCTCACCCAACAATCAAGTCAACAACAAGTTAAATTATGCATTCATCAAGAAAAAACTCATATTGAACAGTATAAAATCAAAAATCACAAGGGCTTTAAGGGTTGCAATGTGGCTTGGGTAACAAACAATTTTTTTTCTCAAGGTAAAAGAACAAAAACTTGCCTAATCAAATGAGAGTGATCATTTCTCACAATCTCAAGCACTCACAAATTCCAATCACCTTTTTATCTTTTCCAAATTGTTACACCATTCCACACAACTTATTAGCAAAACATTATTCTCTTTTTTTTCTCTTTTTTTTCCCTTTTTTTTCCTTTTTCTTTTTCATTTTTTTTCTTTTCTTTCTTTTTCTCAACCTCTTAGCAACCAACCTCTTCTCCCCAACTTGAATACAACCACACATAGTGACATGAATGCTCCCAAACTTATTAGGCAAGGGTAAAAACTCAAATAACAAGTCATGGTTATAGTTCAAGAAAAAG